TTTAATCAACAATATACAACCATATGTTAATACAGTTATAAATAAATAGTGCTCCTGTCAAGTTTCATAAAGCTAATGCTATCAGAGCTTTAAAAATTCTGTTGCTTAGAGGTTGATGATCTAAGGCCTAAATTTTTCCAAATTTGGCCTGCTTCTTATTTTTGCAAATGAAAGTTTTTTGGAACATAGCCACAAATTAAAATGTGTAAAGATAATAACAACTATCCATGTTTTTAGGTCTATACATAGGTTGACTCTACAATTCTCTTTTTAGTTTTGATTTAATAGAGATTATTTTAACAGAGAAAGAGGTCGGGAATGCCTCATCTTGGTAATGAAAGTGTGGCACTTTAGTATTGTCAATAGTCAGTGTGGGCCTTACCTTTAAGAAAATGTAAAGCAAATCTTATTAACTCATAGTTTTGAAAGCAGTATTTCTACATATTGTCTGTAAGTTATGTTGTTCCATGTTTCCTAAACGAGATGATGTTCTTCATTATGATGATTATCTCTAAGGAATAAGAAAACATGTCCAGGCAATAAATACTGAATGAAGTAGATTTAGGGAAATGGTGAAACATCTAGTGCCAATTGAACTTCTTAAATGGTGAAATTTCTCTAGAAGAGATGACTTTTAGTTTTTGCTTAGGAGTATAGAATATCTGGAAGACTCATGTAAATATGTGTTTTTAGGATAGACATTCATGTGCATCGTTGTGAACATGAATGACTGTTAATATTCATGCATTTTAAATTTTCTTTTACCTTGAAGTGATGGTCACTTGAAAACTAGTTTCCCTCTCCTAAAGGTCTGTAGCTCTCTTTTGTAGGCTCTGTTGAATCCTACAAAGAGGTATTGCTTTGATTCTCTTATTTTGAGCTCTCAATAGCATGCTCCCAATTTTGTGGTTCACTTTGTGATCTTGTTATGATTGAGCCACTCCAGTTGACAAAGTTTGAAAATGAAACTGAAATATCACTTGTCAAGTCAAAGCTTACATTCAGGAGAAAGTCTGTCATTCATTCACTGGTTCATTCCACAAATGTTTACTGAGCACCTGTGGGGTGCTAGGTCCTTTACAGGACTCTGGGAACACAGAAGTGAAGAACATACAAACAATTACTTTCATTATCATAAGTGGAGGCAGACAGAAAATAAAGTAGTCATCTCTGAGCATTCATGGGGACTGCTTCCATGTCCCCCAGGGATACCAAAATTCAAGGATGTTCAAGTCCTTCATGTAAAGTGGTATTGTGTTTGCACATAACCTTTGCAATCATCCCCTATACTTTAAATCATTCCTGGATTACTTGTAATACCAAACACAATGTAAATACTTTGTAAGTAGTTGTTACTCCGTATTGTTTAGGGCATAATGACAGAAAAAAATGTCTGCACATTCTCAATATATATGTAATACTTTTTTTATTCATTTATTCACATGTGCATCATTGTTTGGGCCATTTCTCCCCTCTACACCTACACCCTCCTTTTCCCCCCCACCCCCCGTCGCTTCCAGGCAGAACTTGTTCTGCCCTTATCTCTAATTTTGTTGAAGAGAAAACATAAGCAATAATAAGAAAGACAAAGCATTTTTGCTAGTTGAGATAAGGATAGCTATACAGAGAGATTCCTAGCATTGCTTCCATGTACAAATGTGTTACACCCCAAACTGATTCATCTCTAACTGAACTTTATACTGGCTCCTGATCCCCTTCTCATATTGACCTCTGTTGCTTTAAGGTTTCTGTATTAGTTCCTCTGCAGTGGGGACATCAAATACTTTCATTTTGGGTTTCTTATCTATCCCCATATCTCCTGTATGTGCTCTTCCCTTATGTAATACTTTTCCAAATATATTCTATCCACAGTTGGTCTTTTGACTTTGTAATTTAATAGTGATTATTTTGGGAGAGGAAGAGATTGAAAATGTCTCATCTTGGTAATAGAAATATGCAATCATGGTATTGTAATTAGTCAAATTGGGCCTTTTGAGAAATGTAGAGAAAATACTGTTTTACAGAGTACTGACTGTATGTAACAAGTTCTTTGGTAGTAAGGGTTTTAGAGAACAATAAAGGAGAAAATTATGGTGAAAAAATTTTTAGTGTGGGTGTATGTTAGTCAACTTGCTCTCACTATCGCAAATACCAAGATAAGTAATCTACAGAGAAAAGGTTTATTTTGGCTCAGTTTTGAAGGTTCCTATTCATGATTGATTGACCTCAATGCTTTTGGGCCTGTGGCAGGGAGAATGTGGTGGAAAAAAATCACTCTTCTCATGACTGGGGAACAAAAGGGAAAGAAGTGACCAGGGTCCCACAATCCATTTTGAGGTTAATAGCCTAGGGTAAACCCGCTAAGCCCCACCTCTTGAATTTTCCACCACCTCCCAATAGGGCCAAGTCTTTCACACATGGGTCTTTGGGGGGCATCCAACATCTAAATTATAGTAAAGAGGAGAGAGCATGCAGCTGTTTTAAGTAGTGTGACCCTTGACTGGCCTACAGTGAGGAAAGAGGCAGGCATAGGAGTATTTGAAAGAAGGTAGTGGAAAAGCCTAGTAGTATTAGGAAGGAGTTTTCTGTACGAGAAATAGCATGGAAACAGATGTGAAAGGAAAGGAGCCCTGGGAGGCAATATGTGGAAGACTTGTAGGACATTCCAGAGGCTGATACTGTAAGTCACATGGGAAGCCATGACATGGCATGTTTTGTGCAATAAAGAATCATGTGCTGTTTTGGGAAAGGCCCTAAGGAGGTAGCTGCAGCACAAGGGACTACCATTAGAAAGCCTTTTCACTAACCAGGGAGAGAGGATGTAGCTTGACTCAAAGTGTTGGAAGTATTAAGAAGCAGTTAAATTTTAGATATATTTTGAAGCTATCATAACACGATTGTTCAATGAATGGTATGGGTTTGGATATAGTGTGTCCCCACCAAAACTCATGTTGAAATTCAATTACCAAGGTAATGGCATTGAGAAGTGGTAGGGCCTTTAAGAGGTAATAAGGGTTCCACCCTCGTGAAGGTATTAGTGTAGTTATCAGGAGAGTGGGTTAGTTGTTGGTGAGTGGGTTCTTATAAAGTGAGTTTGGCTTTCTCTTCTTGCCTCTCTTGCACAAATATTTTCTTACACGTGCACCCACTTCCCTGCTGCTACTCCCCCAGCAAATGTTTATGCACAAGATCTTGTCAGAAGGCAAGGATATGTCGACTCCATGCTCTTGGACCTCTAGAACTGAGTCAAAATAAGTCTCTTTCTTTGATAAAGTTCTCAGCCTTAGGTATTTTGTGATAGCAGCAGTAAATAGACTAATGCAAGGAATATGAGTGGCTTCAAAGTTTGGGACTGGAGCAACTTGAAAGAAGAATTTGTATTTACTTAGATGGTGGTGTCTGTCGTAAACTGCATGTGTAGGCGGAGGGTGGCAAGGATCATGATTTTGGTTTTAGACATTTTTGTTTTCTCACACCTCTGAGTGGAGCTGACTGGAAGATATTTGAATTAATTGAATATGAGGTCAGAGGTGAGAGCTATGTGTTCCAAAGAGGAGGGAGTGATCAATGGTGTCAGTATTGATGATCTAAAGGAACTCTTCAGAGTCATCCTCTAAACCTGCTAATAAGGAAATGTATTTCCCATTCCAACTAAAACAGGAACATGTACTTCCTCCTTTTGTGAACTAAGTTATATTTAGACTTCCTGTATTTTTTTGTTGTCAAGTGTAGAATTTGTCAACTTATGACCTGCAGATTATCTACTTTGGAGTTATTTGTGCATATTTATATATGTGTGTGTATATATATATCTATATATATTCATATTCGTGGGCTCCACTTGGATTTCCTGACTCAAGCATATCCCAGGATAAGCTTTGGGCCCCCAGAAGATTTCTAATGCTCATTGTTGGAGAGAACCATGTGACTAGCAGGATCATGTAGTACCTTGCTTTAGATTAGCCTGTTACCTATAGAACAGCCTTCTTGCTTTAAATAATGATGCAACTAAGCTGTTAAACCTCCAGACATTGTATCTCATAGAGAAAAGCAAGAGTTTTAAACATGGCTCATTTGCCATCCTCGCCAAACTGTAAGTGATTCTGAGTCAAAACATGGGCATTTCTCCTCCAGGCCTCTTCATCAGTAACATGTTAGACCAAACTTCTTTGCATCTCCAGTGAAGATGATGTTATAATTGGAATTATCAACAGTATATTCCTGGGAAGGTATTTGAAAGGAAACTATCTGTAAGTCATTTGTGGTGAGCGACATCAATGCTTGCTCAATTTGTGGCTAAAAGTGAAGGAAGGACCCTCTAGATGTGCTCCTATTTATTCTTCTTCGTATGTGTATTTTACATGGAGATTTGTGGGGTAATAATTCTGGTACCTAATCCTACTCTTGACAGCTGAGAAGGTTTTGCTTTCTGAGACAAACCAGAAATGGCAAAATAACAAAAATGAATGTTATCCACTAGTCACCCAATTTGAAATGTGGCTAAAAAAGGATGCAGTTTTTTGTTTGTTTATTTGATTCTTTAGGCTGATCTCTCTTTGTTGCCCTTAGCCGATGCAAATATTCAAAGCTACATGTCTACTAAGGTGAAAAGAATTACTTGTGAGCTGGATTTCTGTTTTATTGCTTTTCAGAAATTTTCAAAGGTGATTCTACTTCACTTACCTATTTAATGTCAACTCACCTAAATTGAATTTTGCTGTTTAAAGAAATGTATCAACTTTCAATGCAATCAAAATTTGGCTGGCTTGCAATGGTATGGGAATGCCTACAAGGATCCTTCTAAATTACAAATTTGGATGAAGGATATTCATTTTATTGTTTTGGAGATTGCATCTTGAGTGCTTGTTTTGAGCTTTCATATCAATGAAAAGCAATGTTTTATGCACTGGCTACATTATCATCACATGTGCACAGATATTGGTTTTGTTGTCATCCTTGTTAGTTGATTCCAATTATTTGTCTTTGCACTGGGGTTTCAGATCCATCTGCACCACCAGCACCTGCTAACCTCCGACTTGCAAACTCCACCATAAATAGTGATGGGAGTGTAACTGTGACTATTGTGTGGGACCTCCCTGAGGAACCAGATATCCCTGTTCACCACTACAAAGTGTTTTGGAGCTGGACAGTCAACAGCAAGTCACTTGTCCCAACAAAAAAGAAACGAAGGAAGACTACTGATGGGGTAAGTGGGAATGAGAAGAAAGAATTTGTCTTTTTGCAGGGTGTGTTTGAACTGAAGGTAACTTGTCTGCAAAGTGGCCTCTGCTGAGCTAAGAGAGGAATGGATGAAGGAAAGCTTCCTTTCCTCATCATTTTGACTAAGTTCAGAGAATGAAGAGCATTGCTGCTAGAGTTTGGATAAAGGCCCTTGTGTTGAAGACTTGGTCCCCAGATTGGTGCCATTGGGAAGTGGTGAAAGCTTTAGAAGGTGGGACCTAGAGGGAGGAAGTTAGATCATTGGGGGTGTGGCCTTGAAGGGAATATTGGGACCACAGCTCCATCTTCTTTCTCTCTTTAGCCTCTAGACCATGAGGCTAGTGATTTTGCTCTATTACACTTTCTTACCATGATGTGTTGCATCACCCAAAGCAATGGGCCCAACTCATCATGGTCTGAAACCTTTAAAAGTCTGAGCCAAAATAAGCCTTTTTTAAGTGGATTATCTCAAGTATTCATTATAGTAATGGAAAGCTACCTAACATACATGCCAACTCTTTTGTCTTTTTACATTTTATGCAAAATCAATTGAATTTAGTTTATTGACCTATTCTTATCCAAACAGCAGCCACAACTTCAGCTTCAGAAATCGAAGGAACAAACAATTTAAATTTCCTCCATTTTACCTATCTAGCCATGGAAAATGAAATAATGCAAAGGCTCCTTTATGTTTAGCCATGGAAAATGAAATAATGCAAAGGCTCCTTTATGTTTAGGGCTTTGTTTGAGAACCTTGTAAATTGAAGAGCAAATGTTCATCGCTTCTCTGATTCAAGGTATTTCCATCTGTGAATCAGTGAAGGAGTAAACAAATTATAAAGTGCATTATTGACAATATGCTTTTTACCTTGATTAAAAGAATCTGGAATGGTTTATTCTCTAGATGCCAAGAAATAAAATCTTCACTGAGCTATTTTCTGCAATGAGATTTCTGTGATAGTAAACATCTTGCATCATAGAAAATGTTTGATGCATGAAGACTTATTTCATTTTCTTTTAGCATGTATTTCTTTATTTTGTGCTCATAAGATTTACATAAACACCTTTCACCCTCACTTTTAAAGTTGTATTCCATAGATAAATACATGTTTAAATTCCTTACAAAAGATAACAAAACTTTTTATTAAACCAAGTTTTCTAATATGTGTTCCACTTGGAATTATAAAATATGTCTCTAGAAATACATTTTGTCATTATTCAGCTGTTATCATTCTTATTCAGCTGTTATACTATTTCTACTTTAAAGAAATTTTTGTACAGTGTCATCTTTCATGTTGAAGAATTCTGCCACAAGTAATCAATAGCATTGCAGGCTTATCCCACAGAAAGTGCAAAGAGCTAAATTTTGGAAATTACTGGAATCTAAGGTGAAAATGTGACATATGAAATGCAAACCATTCTCCAAGCCCTCAACCCTTGCCCATTACATGCTGTTAACAGCTAATCAGGTTCAAGAGTAGGATAGGGAAATTTGCAATTATTTCATGTGTCCATAATATAATTAAAACATGGGAACAAATTTAATTAATCTACTTATAATTATAATAATTTATGTTCTTTAATCATTGCAATTTTCAATATTAAAGTTTGACCAATTAGTATTTAGGATTAAAAATCAGAAAAGTGGGATTTTTCTTCTTGAGGGATCAATCCTTTTCTCTTTATAAAGATACTGTCCTAAGATCCATGTTAACTGAATAGAGTATGAATTTTCAAGTAAAGGATTTTTGAAAAGTGGATTTTATTTTACTTATTTGAGGGCAAGAGTATAGGAAGAGTGATATGTAATCAAGCAAGAAACTCCAGTAAAAAAAATAGAGAACCAGGACTTTATGCAGATATGCCAAAGGTTAGAGCAAGAAAATATCCGTGACTAAGCAGAGAATTTCACTGGTGATACCAACTAGAGGTGCTGCAAAGAGGAGTCCAGGTACCCTGGGAAAAGTGACTATTGTCCAGAATTGGACCCTTGGATCCACCTTGTAGAGGTCATCTGATGAAAGAAGGCTGATTTCTGGTAACTAATTCCTCAAAAGCCTGGGCATAAAATGATGTCATTTATTAATTTACAGTGAGCATTAAACTCCTGGTTCTGGGATACCCATAAAAATCGTGTTCTCTCCTTGAAAAAGAGGGTTTATTGGTAGATTTAATGTTTGATGATTTTAGCCAACAGTGTAACACATTGAATGCATATTGGAATACTCTTAAGGTAGTTTTGCCCATTGAATTTGCAACACTACTAGAAAGGATACTACCAATCTTCTGGTCTTTTGCATTAATAATTGAGATTTTTTTCTGCATAAATGTTAATTGCCACCAATTTAGCCATTAATAGAGAAGTATGCTTTTGGATATCACCATACATCTTTTTTATGTTATCCAATCCATCATATTTTGATGAGTGTCTTAAATTTTAAGGCAGCAACCTTATTTTTCTTAATTACAAGTTCTCAGAAGGGTCTTTACTTCTTATAACTGTATGCGATAGAGAAAGCACTAGCTTCAGAGCTAACAAAAGACCATGTTTCAACCTTAATCTTACCATCAAATACCTATGTTCATTTGGATGCATTTCTTGACCTCATAGCCTTGGTAGAATTCCTGTCTTGTCTCAAGATATTGTGCAAATCATATTATTTTGATGTGCTTCATTTAACATTATCATCACACACAGAAAATTGGATGAGTGCTTGATATTAATAAAGATAGTGGCTGAAAGATCCTGAAGTATTTTGTTAGGGTGAATTATCTTATAAACTTTGGTGAAAACTTACTCAGAGGATTTAAAATAGGTATCAAAGAAATGGAATTAAAGTTGTTTCATAATTTTCCAGGTATCTGGCACCATAAGCCTTTGTATGTTTATTATAAATAGTTCTGCTTTCCCTTTGAGCTAGTTATCTAGAAGAGAGGGTGGTTAGAATTAGTCATTTCCATGCTATCAGGACGGATCCAGTCATTGCATTATGTTTTGGCTTTTCTATGAAATGTACTTTGAATCATAGTAAAGGTCGACTTCTAGATTGTTTGATTGTACAGATGTGGAAAGTTTTCTGGTCTTAGAACATGAAAGACATACACAAAGTAGAAGGTGGTGTGCTTTATAATGACATGGAAGATTTGCAGTGAAGATGAGAGGCATGGAAGGTTTGTAATGGAGCTTGGGTATATTCCCTTCATTTGTAGCTTCAGAACTCTGTGGTCCTGGAGAGACTTCAAGCTGACTGTGATTACACCGTGGAACTGCAGGCCATCACGTACTGGGGGCAGACACGCCTCAAGAGCTCAAAGGTGTCCCTTCACTTCACATCCACACGTGCCTCCAACAATAGTAAGTGACCTTGGCATTGTTCTTTAAACTGACTGTGACCTATGAAGCACGTTATCATATTGAAGCAAACAGAGGAAAAGTGAGTTTTTGATTTGGAATCAGAATGTGGGAAATCCTTTTACCAACATATATATGCAACTACAGCCATGCACCTCATAATAATGTTTCTGTCAATCATGGTGGTTCCATTTGATTATATTGCTTGGTGATCTTGTAGCTGTCCTTGTTTGTATAAGCACATTCTATGATGCTCACACAATGGGGAAAATACTTAATGCTGCATTTCCCAGAATGTGCTCTCATTGTTAAATGACACATGACTATGTATCCTTTAAACTACGATGTACAAAATAATTTAGTCACTGAGTACTTTCCAATGATATTTTTCTATCATCAGTGCCAAATTTTGGTATTGTAAAGAAAATTTAACAATAAAACATCGCCTGGAGGTGTAGCTCAGTGGGAGAATGCTGGCCTAGCATGCCTAAGACCCTGAGTTTGATCCCCAGTGCTGCAAAAAAAGAAAAAAGTAAGAAAAGTAAGAAGAAAAAGAAAAAATAATAATACCAAGTCACTGATTTTCATATTTACATTACTTCCAGTCTTTGTACACATGTGTACTTGTTTTTATGAATACATATAGTTAAATTGTTATAAACTGTTGCATCCTTCTTAAAAATGTGGCCTACCTATTTTCCTTGGTATTACACAATGATCATAATTACTGCTTGGAGAGCTCCCTAATGCTCCATGGAGTGAAGTTCCTAAATCATTCCCATATTCGTCTTCCTCATTTCCATTTTTTATTTTTCTTTGAACATTTTTATTAGCATATATTAGTTATACAGGGAACTTCATTGTGACATTTCCGTGTATTTTGTTAGGTTCAGCCCCACCATCATTCTTCCTCATCTCCCTCTCTCTCCACTTAACACAATTTCAACAGGTTTCATTGTGCAATTTTCATACTGAATAGTATGTTTGCAGTGGATGAAGAAAAAGAGAAGAATCATATCACATTTACATCGTAGCCAGAAAATAAGTTATGTGATGCTTGTGGCTTTGTTTGAAAATGGAGACTGCTTGGAACTGCTGTGCAGAGGCACCTGGCAAGATTTCAGGGAACCAGGGTAGAATAAAAGAGAGAGTAAGGAACAAAGGTCTTGGTCTCCCAGGCCCTGGTGATATTGATTCATTAGAGTAGCAGAATCCTGCTGTCCACTTGTCTTTCCTCATCTCAGTGGACCTTGTTCAGAAGGGGAAGAAGAACATGTTAAAACTTGTTTGAAATTAGGCAATGCTGGCTCTGTAGAGTCAAATGCAGTGATTAACAAGTCATAATTTTCTTCTACCACCTAGGAAAACGTAAGATCCAAAGCAGCAGGTTTGTTTGAAATGAAGCTTTCCAAAAAGTGCCAGAAACACAGCTTCCTACCTGTTTGGGAAATGGTCTCTTTGGAGATTAAATGGATTTGAAATGGTCTATTTTTATGTGTGAGTCTAAGTATTCTCATGGAAATATTTCTATGTGTTTAGAAACGTCATTCATTTAAAAATCCATTCATCCATTCATTCATCACATTGAAATTGTATGCCTATGAATTCTGATGTCACCATGCTTAATGGTAGAAATATTATATTGTACTTAAGTATACAGACTATTTAATTACACTAACTATACAGACTGTATATACACTGTATTGTATATATGTCCCATGGTTTTCTATAAATATTGGGTGCATATACATGTGCATATACACACATATGCAGATAGAAATGTAGTCATTTTTCAGTATCCATGGGAAATTTGTTCCAGACCATTGCCCCACAAATACAAAAATTCAAGGCTGTTCACATCCTTTCTATAAAATGGGGGTTGTCTTTATATATAACCTATAAACATTCTCCTGCTATACTTTAAATCATCTGTAGATTGCATAAAACCCAATACAATGTAAACACTATGTAAGAAGTTGCTATACTGTGTTGCTTAGGGAAATATGACAAGAAAAAAATCTGGTCATGTTCAGTACAGATGCAAATATTTTAGAAATACTTCTGATCCATGATCAGTTGAATCTGCACATGTGGAGCCCACAGATAGAGAGAGTTGACTATACACCTCCCACACACATTTTTTCCACCACTAGTTGTATTTTGGCCTTGGTCTTAAAAGTGCATAGTTTTGTAATTTTGAATTTGGGAGACAAACATGTAAAATAGCATTTCCCTATGTTTGAGCTACAAGGAAAGTGGAAGCAGAAATAAGTGACATGGAGGTGGGGAATGAGAGCCAGCCACACTGTTCTTCAAGAAGCATGGAAGAATGAGTGATTCCTGGGCTCCTAATGCATAGAGATCATTGCACACAAAGTCAGCAGTATTCATGAATGCCGAATCTGGAAAGAGTATTGTAGAGCAAGGAACTCAACCTGGGAGAGGAGTGAAGGAGGGCAGAGGCCATTCTCTTCCCTGGAGCTTTCATTTAGTTGCTAGGACTTCACAACCTTGTGCTAATGATTCCTCTCTTTCCTATCCTGACCTGTCCTGTCCTGAGTTGCCTACATAGCACCTCCACCTGGATGGTAGCAGGTATGTCAAACCTAATGCATGTAAAACAGAACTCTTGACTCCCTGCCAACATAGGTCAACATGTTCCAAATTGTTCCTCTCCTCTCATAGTAAATGGCTCTACCATTCACCCCTTTGTCCTAGCCAAAGGCCCACAAATCATTCTTCATTCTGCTCTTGTCTTTCTCTCTAGAAATCCAGTTCTTCAGAACATTCCTTTGTCTCTAATTTTAAATCGTATGTGATCTTGGTCCAATTCTTTCCTTTGTTCAAACTGTGTCATCTCTTTCTTGTGAAATTAAAATAGTCTGCTAATTCATATCCGTGTTTCTACTCTTTCTTGCATTAATTATCCTTTCTTTAGATAGGAAGCAAAGTATTCTTCAGAAAATTTTAATAAGATTATAACTTTCTTTCACTTCTGTGTTCCACTCCCTAGAGAGCATCCTATTTGGTTTCTTTTTCTCTTTTTTCAATTTTTTTTCCTTTATTGCTATCATCTTTAATTTTTTTCCAACACCAAAATCCTTTAAACGTATGCTTCATCCAAGACCTTTCTTTATCTACTGATGGGAGAGATTTCATCTATGGTGTGAAAATAAGTATGTTTCTTTAGATTCCTGGTTCTTCCAATAAACAACATTCTTTCTCCATTAAAAACTGTTATGGGATTGCAAACTACCATAATTTAATATGTGTATATTCCTGGAACAAAGTGCAAGGAGAAAAAAAAATCCAACCTCAACTTGACATTGTAGAGGTTACATCATCGAGAGTCTGGTTGTGGTCTAGCCCACATAGAAAATTTACATGGAAGTTGTCTACAGCATATATATGCCTTTCTCATCTCTATTTAGTTCCTTCTTCCACCTTCTCAAGTATGATTACAGACCTTCCTCTCCACATAAGCCACATTACATAGTCTAGTCTAAATCCCTCCCTCTTAGTAAGCTATGTCCCCTTATCTATAAACATATCTATCCCTTCACCTGTGTTTCTCTTCTCTTTTCCTCTGTTGTCTAAGGTGGGGTTATCTTTCCTTCTGCATATAGCAGACTCAAGTATGTGGTTTCTAGACCCTTCCCTTCCCAACTTACAGACACTGAATCAAAAATCTCCATCAGTTACAACACATGGGTTACCTATCTGTATGTCCAAAGCATCCACCATTGTCCCTGGCATATAATTTATGCACCATAAATATGCAAGAAACCAAATCAGTTAGTTATTACCTCTTTCTTACCTTATGCTTCAGAAGCACCCCTTTCCTTGAGTGTGGTTTCATCCTAGCTATCATCTTTCTCCTTTCCACATTTTTCTCAAGTTTCGGCACTCTGTGTTCCATTCTCACCTTTCCAGTGAATCTCCTCCTGCTCATCTTTAAGTGGGGTGGGTATTTTCTGCTTCTAATTTTATTGACCCTTGCTGATGAATTTATCCTGTGTAATTTCTCTGTATATTTGATTCACAGATGTCACTGACTTTTCTTAGACCTCTCTTCAATTACTGCGGGATCCTCTTCTTCCATCCAGCTCCTGGACACTGTGTTAAAATTGTACTCAGTGTGTTCTGTTATTTGCAGTCAGTATATACTTACTTGCACATCTTCCCCAATGACTGAGCTGTAACCTTGATTTCTCCACAAAGACTAGGTTTCTCCAGCTTGTCATTGTTTTTTCTGAATGTCACATAGTTACCTCAAGTTGAACATGTTCCAAATGGAGCTCACCCTCTCTATTTACAAAGCCTGTTGTTCTCATGTGTTTCTTGTCTTCTCTGACTCTACTACTTAAAAATTGTCATCGATTGCTTCCTGTGCATTTACTTCATGTCTAGGTCCTGAAACTATTTTTAAGCCCTGCGCATTTCTTAATTCTTCCAGAAACAGTAGGAATTTGTGTCAGTCAGCTTTCTATCACTATAAAAAATACATGGGATACTTGACTTAGAAAAGGATTATTTAGGCTCACATTTTCAAAGGTTTTGCAGTCTATGGCCAGGTACCTCTGTTCCTTTTGGGACTATGGCAAGTCAGTAAATCATGGCACCATAATGTGGCAGAGGAAAGCACCCACCTCATGGCAGCTAGGAGACAGAGAGAGAGAGAGAGAGGAGGAAGGGGCCAGGATACCAATATCCCCTTCAGGGGAGGTCTCCAGTGATCCAATTTCCTCTGAACAGGCCTCATTTCTTAATGGTTCTACCACCTCCTGATAGTACCAAGCTGGGGAACAAGTCTTTGACATGCAGCCTTTGTGGGGACATTCCAATTGCAAACTATAGCAGAATTCAGTACTCATCTGTTACTCAGATGAATGCAACTATCTCTCCATTCAGCCACCCTCAGAGTCTATGCTTCAGCTTTCTAAAGGCTTCATTTGAGAAATCAGATCAGTTGAGGAAGTAGAAGGGAGAAAGAAATGGCTTTTGGCCTCATCTTCCAGCAACTCAAAGTTAATCATCTTTTTTAGTTTGCTTGCATATTTTAACTATATCCTCCAAGAGTTTGTGCTTTTACTTGGTTCCAGAGAAATTTTATTTACATGAGAGAATTTTGAACCAGGTGGGAAGACACTAAAATTATGGCAGTTAAATGAGCTATTTTGACAGAAATTATGTTAGAATCCTGGCAAGCAGGATATTTGGTTGGTTGTGAGTGGTCTGAATCTTTTATAATGATCTTTCAAAATTACACAATGTCTTACCTGACCAATATAGATATGATAGTTAACCTTTATTCCATGGGCAAATTCTCCTTGTATAGGTTCAGAAAAGTAATGAAAAAACAGTAATAGTGCAAAATATCTATTTGGTACATTGTTTTAGTATGGAATTATTCTACATAAGACTGTCTTACAGCAGATTATGTATGATATAACTGAACATTTGTCAGAATTTTATATCCCAATGTTGATATATAATCTCATCAACACTAGTGTATGACTTTTACAAGAACACTCCATATTTTATCATGAACCAACTAGAAACAGAGAATAATTATGACTTTATAGTTTAAGCAAAGGAAATTATATTTTATAGGAATAGAGTAGTAAATGTCAATACATGAATTACATTTTGAGTTATATTTTTCCACGTCTCCATGCTACTAGGTGTTTTAATGATAAATATTTTTATGCAGGCAGAGGCTGAATGCTTATGTACCTTTACAAAAGGGTCTCTTGAAGGAAGTAGTACATCACACTGCCTTTAATGGAAATGTAACGGAGGAATATTTCCAAAGTTGACAGATTCTGAATGTTTTATAGTTGCCTTCTGGAACTGGAATATTCCTGTGGCTCTCCAAAATATGAACAAAATACAGAGAAAATAGTCTGAATTTCTCAAGCTGTAAAATTTATCAAATTTGGACATTTGAAAAGAGAGCATACATATTTGATTCTCTTAACATTTATGACTTGCCTTTTCAGAATAAGATTTTATTCCATATTTTTACTACTGAAAGTATAAGAGACAATCTTACAAAGACTTTATGTGTAACTGGGAAGATTGTTTAACTCCATGGTGGGGTCCAGAAAGAGATGATTTTTATCTTTTTTGCTTGTTATTGTTTGTTTGGTACTGAGGACCAAACCTAGGGCCTTGTGTGTGGTAGGTAAGTACTCTCCCACTGAGTTACATCCCTAGCTTCTGAGAGACGGAATTTGGTTGGGTGTCTTCCAAGTTTTCTGTATCCTAGTCCTGCCATTTCTCCTGGATTCTTAAGTGTATTGGTTATATTGGCTGTCTGTGCTCTCAACAATAATAGCCTAATAAATGTTTTTCAGTTATCCAAGCATTGATTTGAACTCTTTAAACTAAAATATTCTAAATCTGGGCCTGACTCTATGAATGTCTATCAAATAGTGTCAAAGCTCACCAAGCAAATGAAAGAGCACTTTGAGTTGAAACAGATGAGTTTATTGCTCTTCCTGCAAGGAAGAAAAGTGTACTAAGATAAACACATTGAGTATTGTGTCACAGGATTGCTGCTTAACATCTCTTAAAGCACTACACACAGCCCCACTGGCATGAATACCTGGTCACAGCCATAGAGCTCTCTGCTCAACCACATACTCACGTCAGTCCATCCAATACATATTAAGCAACCTGAGCGGCAGGAGACATCCAAGGGAGATTATGATAAGGCCCTTTACTTAGAGGACTTTTAGGTTGAAATGGAGGAACAGATAAAAGGAAATAAATTATTTACAACTGAGACAATACAGAAACAGTAAGGAGGAATTTGCTTCAATTTACCTTGGGGAATATTCATTAAGGAGAGCTAATTAGAAGTTTGGAAGGACAAAGAACATTTCTAATACTGCCAGATCCCTCCGAGATAAAATAACCAGAAATATAGATATGGATTTATATAGCTAAATGGATTTTAGGAATTAGTAATGACACAAGTGGAAAAGATGCAGCTAAAGCAAAACAGAAAAAGTAAGAGAAGAAATAGAGGGAGGTCTTAACCCTAAACAGAAACAGACAGCTGAAGAATGAAAGTCTGAATTGCCTGATGCAATATTTTTTTAACAGCAGGATTTCTCTGCCTCCCATTGGATATGGGCTATTTGGAGCTTGGGACCACTCCTTTTACTTTTACATTGCCCTTAATCTGAGAACATTTGCCCTTAATGTGCTGAGAACATTAAAAAACTCTCTTTCAGTTTACTAGATAAAAATGATAGCAGTGTGTGGTAGTTATAATAGGACTTATCTCCATTTTTTACACAGATAAACCGAGACTCAGTAGGCTGAAGGGACCTGCTTAGGGTTATAGCAGCACTTGTTGGTAATGCTGGAACCCAGGCTTTCCCCTACATTTTGCTGGCTATTATTAACTTAAAATACATCCGGGGAGTATTTATTTGCACGTGCATGGTTCTCCCCAACCACATTTCATTTGAGCTCAGACCCAATCCTTGTTGAGAAAAATTTTAAACAGACAATGGGAAAAACACAAGCTCATGTTAAAAAATTAGTAATGACCTGTGTGCACATTTTTATCTTTTCTGAAACTGTCCTGTTTTTTTAACAAAGTACCACCTCACACTGCAATAATTATATCATTGTGATTCATTTAATCAGAAAGCCTTTTGCTTTCTGTTACAAAAAACAGAAACAGTGATTTGTGAGATTTACATTATTCCATGATCCTCTGGTTGTGAACTGTTATCATTTATTAACATGTCTCTTTCACATTCAAGGCCCCAAGTTTACCAAAGCTTTCTAGTGCTAGCTTCCAGCTCAGTCCCTGGCACGCAAGAAATGCTCATCACTGCTTGCAGAAAGGATCAATGAATGAATGCATGCTTATATTCCAGTCACCACTCTGTTGCTGCTATTGCGTGACATTTCATTTATTGAATATTTTAATATTTCACTTTAATATCTGTCAGCATTTGAATGTCTGTCACTAATCTGAACAACGTACAGATTGGTTGTTGAGTGATGTGACTGAAATTGCTGCATTTCCTGGGTGGATGCAATTTGTGTTCTTTACTAGTAATTTGACAAACTTTAGCCATATTTCTGTTTAGGGTTCTGAAACATTTATTGATGTATGGTGTCCATGTTTCTCTAAAGCTATCTGTTGGTTCCATGAAATAGCATCTTAAAATTATTTTATTTTCATATCTATAATGAGAAATAAACATATGCTTATTTGCTAAATCAAGGAATGTTTGAAATCTGGTGAAAACTGATCACAATTTAAGTTCTGGGGATGCTATCTAATACACTTTTAGATATTCTAAAAATTTTGAAGGGCAGGAGGGTCATTAACTTGAGCATAAAAGAATAGCTGTTGTATCATCTATTTTAACAAAGAGACACTGACTATGAATGAAAAACAGGCTGAAATGAAATCCCTTGGGATCAGTATCAGATTATGATTATTTTCAGCAAGTGAATTAGAATGTTGTGCTTTGTCATAGAGGAACAGCTTGGGAAAACGAGAAAAGGTGTGATGCAGATACAGTCCCCTCTCCAGAGAAGACGACCCACTCGCCCACTAGAAATCGGAGCTCCCTTCTATCAAGACAACCAACTGCAAGTCAAAGTCTACTGGAAAAAGACTGAAGGTACCTAAGCAATGTTTGCTTCATTGTTACTTGCTTTAAATAGCACAGTGATACGGAAAGATACTTTTACAAAGTGATAAGCCACAGTATCAATACTAAGTCAAACAGTAGGTCAACAAAGCGCTTATATACTTCTTTAAAAAATATTCTTTGCTGCATTAAGGTTATTGTTGCAACTTTATGTGTTGCTGTTGAGTCTGTGCAATCTATATCACACAAGATATATATAGCTCTAATGAGTTTTCTATGCATCTTATTTTTTACTCAGTTGCTTTCATGTACATGTGTGTATGTGTATAAGATGTACACATATATTTTCATATAACATTACTTTTTTCATAATGTTCTTAAATTGCTGCATTGTATGTGGATATATTCTAGTGCTTTATGTGTTATTATTCCATCCCAGTAAAACATCGAGGTTCCTTTAGAGTTTTCCATTTTATAATGAATGATACAATGAATATTTATTCTTAGAATAGATTCTCTTTTGATCATTTTATATTCACTATAAATTGATTTTCTTTACTCTTATTATTTAGCATTATTGAAATAGATCTTTAGAATTTATATGATGTTTAAATTTTTATCACTTCTTTTCATTTTTAAGACATAAGAAAAATAGATGGCTTCAACAGTTTGCTTTTTAAAAATTGTCCTCATTCTTCTGAAGTTCTATTTAGTCAGGGTACTGATGGCTTATAAGTAATTTTGGTGTTGGAGTAGTTTTTATTCTAGAGTTTTCTTCCAAGCTGCTTAAACCTATTCTGCAGCTAAAGAACATTACTGTTAGGGTTAATATATTTCATTTCATAAGTTAATTAAAATAGAAACCTATTCAATATTTATTAATTTAAGATGATATTATATAATCATATCCAAATTAATAAAACTGCATAATATTAAAGCATAAAATTAATTAGAGGCTTATTTATCAATTTGAATTTAAAACTATCCAACAATGTTTTATATCAACAAAACAATATACTTCATTAATAATATTTAAAATTAAAGTTATACTGTAATGAAAATGTAAGCATCTAATATCAAAAAGAGAAACATCTCAAGATTCAAAACACCCACCATCATCCTTACTTCTAAAATTGAAGCTGTTTTGCATGTGTTTAAATTTTATTGAAGTGGAATTATATAGTTTGTGTTTGTTTTTGGCTTCTTTCAGAGAGCATTTTATATGAGAAACAAACCCATTCTGTTACATGAAGCAATAATTCATTAACTTATATTCCTGCTTAGTAGTCTTTTGTGTACTTCAACCTATGGATCTTTTAAGCTGTTGGTAGGAGCTTAACTTTGTTCCAATGTAGGTTTATGAAGAATACTGATGCTATTGGTCTGGAGGAAAGGGTAGCTCAGTGGTAGAGCTGTGAGTCCCTGGGTTCCATCCCTAGCACCAGAAAAAGAAAGAATAGTGCTATTAACACCCATTTTTCTCTGCTTGTACATGCATTTTCTTCTATAGAGGTGGAATTCTTAGGTCATAGAGTTTGATCACATTAGAAAACACTAATAGTTATACCAATTTTTGTTCTCACCAGAGGATGTGATATCCACATTTTTCTGTATTCTCTCTGCTGTGTGGTGTTTCCCTTCTTTTTAAATGTAGCCCATCTGGTTTATGTGTGTTGTGATACCTCATTATGTCTGAATATGCATTTTTTAAATCTCCAATGAGTTGAGCACCTTTTCCTATTTGTGGATAGTGGTAATTGAATCTTCTCATTTATGAAGCATGCTTGCAACTCATTAGTGACTCTGTTCTGTCAGTTCTTCATAAGTTGATATAGGAGTCATTTGTTGGTTTCATGTTTTGCAACTATTTTTCCCACTCTGACCTACTCTTGTGTTTTTAACTTTCATGATCTCCATCATTTACTTAAAAAGTGAGTCTATCTTGAAAGCTCTGTGGTACCACTTTTGTCCCAAATCAAACATATGTGAATTTTCATAGTCATTTGGCTTAGTTTCCAAATTTTGTGATGGTACCTCAACTCACTGTCTTAACCACTATAGATTTATACATATTATTATGATAGTCTTAGGTTTTATTTTTACTTCTTCAAATTGTCTTGACATTTTTTTGGCCCTGTGCATTTTTATATAAATATTTGAATTAGTATTCTAATTTTCACAAAAACTTTCTGAGATCTTTATTGTGATTGCAATTCATCTATATGTCAGTGTTTGCAGAATTCACATCTTAAAAATATGGCTTTCCGACCTGTAAACATGGGATATCACTTTATTTAGGTTTTTAAATTTTCTTTTAATCTTATCTTATAATATATTGTAAAGAGGCTGTAACACCTTTCAAAGTCATTATTTCAAGATGTGTTTATTTTTATTCTATTCTAGATGCCATACTTTCCCATCAATTTTATTTTCTAATTTTTGTTGCTGGTATATTATAAATGAATATTGTATGTTAATTGGGAACCCAACAGTATTTATATTGCGTTATTAATTATAACATTTATGAGATGATTACATTGCATTTTTCAATAAAAACCATCCTGCAGTCTGCAAATAATGAGAATTGCATATTTTCTTTGCAGATCTTTGACACTATATGTTTTTTCCTTATTAAGACATTGAGTAAAATGGAAGCTAAAAGTGATGCTAGGGTTGATGTTTAATTGTAAGGATTTTGAAGACAACTTTTATCTGATTAGTAAAATTCTGATCTGAAAAGTTTTGGCCATGAATGGATATTAATTTTTATCATATATTCTTCCTGCATCTAATGAGGTGCTCAATGAAATTTTCTCCAATTTATTGATGTGATGAACTAAAGGAAAAAGTGATAGGTAACTTCCTAGATTTATAGTGAGCATAAATGAGATTGTATACAGATTGCTCAAAACAGCACAAAGCATACAAGGTTAGGCATTTAAATGTGAAGATTCTTATGAAAATTATTGTAGGTGGAGCCATAAAGGGAAGTCAGTGGGCAGAGAGAGAAGACAGGACATCAGGACAGAGGTATAGAGCCTTTGAATCTCTACAAGTAAGGTTTCATGTTGCCTTAAGACTGATTCTCATTGATTTCTCCCTCTCTTTTTTTTTATTGTTTTATTATTCATATGTGCATACAAGGCTTGGTTCATTTCTCCCCCCTGCCCCCACCCCTCCCTTACCACCCACTCCGCCCCCTCCCTCTCCCCCCCAACCCCTCAATACCCAGCAGAAACTATTTTGCCCTTATTTCTAATTTTGTTGAAGAGAGCGTATAAGCAATAATAGGAAGGAACAAGGGTTTTTGCTGGTTGAGATAAGGATAGCTATACAGGGCATTGACTCACATTGATTTCCTGTGCGTGGGTGTTACCTTCTAGGTTAATTCTTTTTGATCTAACCTTTTCTCTAGTTCCTGTCCCCTTTTCCTATTGGCCTCAGTTGCTTTTAAGGTATCTGCTTTAGTTTCTCTGCGTTAAGGGCAACAAATGCTAGCTAGTTTTTTAGGTGTCTTACCTATCCTCACCCCTCCCTTGTGTGCTCTCGCTTTTATCATGTGCTCAAAGTCCAATCCCTTGTTGTGTTTGCCCTTGATCTAATGTCCACATATGAGGGAGAACATACGATTTTTGGTCTTTTGGGCCAGGCTAACCTCACTCAGAATGATGTTCTCCAATTCCATCCATTTACCAGCGAATGATAACATTTCGTTCTTCTTCATGGCTGCATAAAATTCCATTGTGTATAGATACCACATTTTCTTAATCCATTCGGCAGTGTGGGGCATCTTGGCTGTTTCCATAACTTGGCTATTGTGAATAGTGCCGCAATAAACATGGGTGTGCAGGTGCCTCTGGAGTAACCTGTGTCACAGTCTTTTGGGTATATCCCCAAGAGTGGTATTGCTGGATCAAATGGTAGATCAATGTTTAGCTTTTTAAGTAGCCTCCAAATTTTTTTCCAGAGTGGTTGTACTAGTTTACATTCCCACCAACAGTGTAAGAGGGTTCCTTTTTCCCCGCATCCTCACCAACACCTGTTGTTGGTGGTGTTGCTAATGATGGCTATTCTAACAGGGTGAGGTGGAATCTTAGTGTGGTTTTAATTTGCATTTCCTTTATTGCTAGAGATGGTGAGCATTTTTTCATATGTTTTTGGCCATTTGAATTTCTTCTTTTGAGAAAGTTCTGTTTAGTTCACTTGCCCATTTCTTTATTGGTTCATTAGTTTTGGGAGAATTTAGTTTTTTAAGTTCCCTATATATTCTGGTTATCAGTCCTTTGTCTGATGTGTAGCTGGCAAATATTTTCTCCCACTCTGTGGGTGTTCTCTTCAGTTTAGAGACCTTTCTTTTGTTGGGGAGAAGCTTTTTAGTTTTATGAGGTCCCATTTATCTATGCTATCTCTTAGTTGCTGTGCTGCTGGGGTTCCATTGAGAAAGTTCTTACCTATATCTACTAACTCCAGAGTATTTCTTACTCTTTCCTGTATCAACTTTAGAGTTTGTGGTCTGATATATAATAATTGATCCATTTTGATTTAATTATGGGTATAAGTGATATACATGGATCTAGTTCAGTTTTTGCAGACTGCTAACCAGTTTTCCCAGCAGTTTTTGTTGAAGAGGCTGCTATTTCTCCATCGTATATTTTTAGCTCCTTTGTCAAAGACAAGTTGGTTATAGTTGTGTGGCTTCATATCTGGGTCCTCTATTCTGTTCCACTGGTCTTCATGTCTGTTTTGTGCGTACCATGCTGTTTTTATTTTTTGCTTTGTAATATAGTTTGAAGTCAGGTATCGTGATACCTCCTGCATTGTTCTTTTGACTGAGTATTGCCTTGGCTATTCGTGGCCTCTTGTGTTCCATATAAATTTCAGTAGATTTTTCAATCTCTTTAATGAATGTCATTGGAATTTTGATGGGAATTGCATTAAAGATGTAGATTACTTTTGGGAGTATAGACATTTTTACTATGTTGATTCTACCAATCATGAGCATGGGAGATCTCTCCACTTTCTATAGTCT